CCCCTAAACACTAGACTCTAGGGTTGAGGGTTTAGGGCTCAGGGTTTAGGGTTTCGGGGTTTAGGGTTTAGGAATTAGGGTTCAGGGTTTAGGGTTTAGGGTTCAGGGTTTAGGGTTTAGGGCTCAGGGACCCCGACGGCTCGAAAATTACCTAAGTTTGGAATGGACCGAAAATCATAAACCATAAACCCGAAACCCCTCAACCCCACGGATTATGGCATCGACCTTCAGCTACAGAAGGCTTCTTCATGTGATTGAAAGAATCGTCTTCGATTAAGGAAATCTCGGCGTCTCTGGGAATGACAATGCTCAGATTCGCAGACACCGGGCCTCTAGGTGGATCATGGCATTCAGCTTGTAAGGCTATAAGTCCCTTAATTGGGTTATTAGTAGCTATAACCCGGGTTTAGGGTTTCGGGTTATTAAGTCTCATGATACTTTAAGTAGGTGGGCCTATGTCCCATGGTCCCTTAAGCAGGTGGAGCCTTTACAAAGCTTACCAAAACTAATGTAGACCCCTGATTCATAAACGCCCCTGCTAAATGCCCTTAAAGCGTTTCAGGGCTACCTTCGTAAACCAGGCTGTACGTAAAAGGCCTTTAGGCTAGGATCCCTCTTTTGTACTGCTGATGAAGGAAAGGAGGGTTGATTGGTCCAGGGTCTACCCTAAAAGGAAACCCTGAACCCTAAACCCTTACACCAACTCTGAAATCCATGTTACCTCTCAGCCGCGACCCCGGACTGAATCCAAAATATCTCAAAGCCATCGAGCCTCTACCTTTAGAGGAAACTCCAGGTGTTTAGGGTATATAGGGCTTCTATAAGGCTTCCATAAGGTATATAGACCTTCTATAAGGCTCCTATAACGGTAACTACCTACCTGAAAATGTCCTAGATACCTGAAGACCCCAAAACCAAGGAGCCCAGCCCCACTCCGCCAGTCCCCCCTTCCCCTGCACCCACACCTCACGAAAATCCACGAAGGCCCCAAAATCCATGACTCACCGAAGAGTCCTAGACGTTTGCAACCCGCGACACATTTCAGAACAATTTTGGCCATGGCAGGGCAGCATCACACAATCAGCGCAGCGTTTTCGGAACATACGAATCGCAGCAATCGCGTCAATCTGTATGTATACTTATGGTCGCTAATGTTTTCTTCTGGATGTATGCATGCCATAAACCGCACGCGAAACCCTCAAAAACCAAACCCTAAACCCTAAACTCCTAAACCCTAAACTCTACACCCTAAATCCTAAACCCCAAACCCTAAACCCTAAACCCTAAACCCCACACCCCAAACCCTAAACTCTGAACCCCAAACCCTAAACCCTAAACCCTGAACTCTACACCCTAAACCCCCAACCCCAAAACCCTAAACCCTACACCCTAAAGTTTATCGCGCCGCCTTCCCGTGCTTCGCGAAGGCCAGCTCCACGCAAAGCAGATCGCAGGGGCCCAGAACGGGCTCCGAGGTCCTTCGCTTTAGGGTTTAGGGTTTGGGGCTTAAGGTTTAGGGCTTGGGGGTTTAGGGTTTGGGTTTAGGGTTTAGGGCTTCGGGTTTCAGGATTTTTGGGTTTTTTGAGGGTTTAGGATTTTTTAGGGCTTAGGGTTTCAGGATTTTCGGTGCTTTTGAAGGTTTAGGGTTTTTTAGGGTTTAGGGCGAAAGGATTCAGGGCAGAGGGCTTAGGATACTTTTGGGGTGGGCCTCTGAGAAAAAGTTTAGGGTTTAGGGCTTAGGGTTTAGAGTTTTGGGTTTTGGGTTTTGGGTTTAGGGTTTTGTATACAGGATTATTGGGTTTCCAAAGACTTTACAACAAGTTTCCGAGGGGTCTGAAGAGGGTGTGATCGGATTATAGCAGCTTGAAGAAGTCGAAACAAGGCCTGGAAATAGATCAGAATATGAGTACCTTGACCTACCAAAACCTTCTTGTTTTGTAGGGTCCCTATCAATTGCATATTAGGGTGTATAATAAGAACCTACAAAAAACTAGGTTTTGGTAAGTTAAGGTATATTGACATAGGAAAACTGGATGCTATAATCAACTTTTGCGACTTCGGGCCACCAGACCCTAAAAGCCTAAACCTGTACCACAGCCTAAGGAACAGGGCGTTTAGGGCTTCCGGGTCTCCACACTTCAAGGCTGTTGAGGCTTTAGGAGATAAGCCACCTTCTTTGGCCACAAGGGCTTTAGGCTCAGGGTTTAGGGTTTAGGGTTTAGGGTTTAGGGTTTAGGGTTTGGGGTTTCGGGTTTAGGGTCTTGGGTTTGGGTGTTCTAGGCTGCAGGGTCTCGCTCCGACCCTAGAACTCCAAGCCCGCAACCCCGAAGCTCCAACTCTACAGCACCCTGAAGCCCTAAACCCCAAATCCTAACGCCCCAAACCCTAAACCCTGAAGCCCCAAACCCTGAAGCCCTAAAACCCTACACCCTGAAGCCCTGAACCCTGAAGCCCCAAACCCTGAAGCCCCAAACCCTGAAGCCCCAAACCCTGAACCCTAAACCCTACCCCCTGGAGCCCTAAACCCTAAACCCTGAAGCCCTGAAGCCCTGAAGCCCTGAAGCCCTCAACCCTAAACCCTGAAGCCCCGAACCCTGAAGCCCTAAACCCTAAACCCTAAACCCCCAAACCCTAAACCCTAAACCCTAAACCCCCAGCAACTTGACTCAAAGTGCCCAGCCCCGTTTCAGCTCGGACGAGGAACTCCGCCCCCAGCGCACAGCCCAGCGTGACGTCAAAGAAGTTCAGGTCTAATCGCCAAGCCTGCAGTTTAGGGTTTAAGGTTTTTTTTTAAATGCACTAGCCCCTTTTCTCGCAGGAGGTCAAGAAGCTCGCTCAGTTTGAGCATGCACTACACTTCTCTCTCATCAGCTGGCCCTCTTCCAGGGTTTAGGGCCTAGGGCTTAGGGTTTAGGGTTTAGGGTTTAGCGTTTAGGGGATCTACACAGAGCTTCATAAAGGCTTCGCTTGGATTCCCTAAACCCTAAACCCGAAACACTGAAACCCTGAGCCCGAAACCCTAACCCTAAACCCTAAAACCTATCCGAGGTTTAAGATTTACCAGGTCGCTTGCGAACGAAGAGTTCCTTGGAGACCCTCGGACTAGGGTCTTTTGCTTGAGGACTTAAGGCTCATAGATTTAGGGTTTAGGCTACTCAGGGCTTTACAAAGGGTTCTGTGGGCGCTGCTTTTAGGGTTGAAAACAAAGGGCTTCATACAAGGTTCCCTATGTGCGGGTTTGGGGTCTCGGGTTTTCCCCGAACCCTAAAAGCCACACGTCTTCATAAAGGGTTCCCGGATGAGGGTTCAGGGTTTGGGCTTAAGCCGCTAAGCCCTGAACCCTACTTATACCCGAAACCTAAACCCTCAACCCTGAACCCTAAACCCTAAACCCTAAACCCTGAGCCCTAAACCCTAAACCCTGAACCCTAAACCCTAAACCCTGAACCCTGAACCCACTTGGTTTTGTAGGCTTGCGTTGGAGGTGCTCTACAAGGGTTCCTGACCTTGGGAGTTCGACAGGCATTCCAGGGTTTCTTATAGGGGCTCTTATAGGGGATTATAGGGATTTATAGGGGTTTATAGGGATGGGGTTTATAGGGATTTATAGGGATTTATAGGGATTTATAGGGATTTATAGGGATTTATAGGGATTTATAGGGATTTATAGGCGTTATAGGGATTTATAGGGCTTATAGGGATTTATGATAGGGTTTCATAAGGATTCATAGGGGTTTAGGGTGTGGGGTTAAGGGTTTCGGGTTGAGGGTTTTGGAGCTTAGGATTTAGGGTTTCGGGTTTAGGGTTTTGGGGTTTAGGATTTATGGTTGGCGGTTTAAGGTTTAGGGGCTTAGGATTTAGGGTTTGGGGTTTAGGCTTATGGGCTTGAAAAATTAGACTACCGTTTTGGGAGTTTCTGCACTCACTCAAGTTCCACAAGAGACCCCTCAGGCACCCCATCGCCGATCATTCTTGCCCCCTATCTTGCCTATCGTGTGCTGAATTCCTAACCCTAAACCCTAAACCCTAAACCCTACACCGTTAACCCTAAACCCTAAACCCTAAACCCTAAACCCTAAACCCTAAAGTTCAAGGTTTCAGGGTCCCGACGGTTTCGAAGCGAAGGCTCGGGTTCCAATGGGGGGGGCTCACGGCTTCATGCTACTAAACCCCCAGGGACCTGCAAGCCCAATTCCCTTAAGGAATTAGAGCAAGGTCTACGATGGTTTAGGGTTTAGGGTTTAGGGTTTAGGGTTTAGGGTTTAGGGTTTAGGGTTTAGGGTTTAGGGGAAGCGTTTAGTATGTGCAATGCAGGAGCCCCAGTTGTTAGTATAGGGCTTGGGGGACATATTGTAGTATGTATTATGTATATACTATAGGGCCCACCCCACAACCCCGACAGCCGAACCCAAACCACCCAGAACCACCCCATAGAACTGGAAAGCTCTACCCCCTGAAACGCGAAGGCCCTACTGAACCCCAAACCCTCTGGACAACGTGAAAGGACAACGTGAAATCCTACGTCCCCACAACTGTGAAATGCTAAGCTGTGTTCTTGTTCGGGAACTGAATGTAAGTTACCATAATCGGGATGGAATCTATCGTAAATAACAGGGTTTCCTCATTGTGGTAACTTAGATTACATCCCTTACCAAAAACGCAGTAAAACCGAAAGCACTAAATCCTTCAACCCTGAACCCTTCAAACCGTGATAGAACCCTTATAGAACCCTTCCAAAACCGTCGACAGGCCCAAATCACCCAAACACCCTCTAACCAATCAGCTCTGGAGCCCGAAATCCGAAAATCCCTGTCGCGCCGGGTACTTCGGGCTCGCCAAATGCCGGAGGCAGAGGTTGAAAGCGAGGCGTCCGCTCAAGCTGATGGACAGCGGAACCCGGGCGTCCGCCTCCGGGGTTTCTTTGGGCTTCCTTTCAAAGGCTAGCAGCGGGGCTGCTGTGAGGGTCGCTCTTTTTTTAGGGTTCCTTTAAGGGCCTCCTTGAAGGTTTCCTTTAAGCAGGGGCTCCGTTAAGGCCTCTTTTAAGGGCTTTTGGGGTTTTGGACTGCTTGAGGGGCGGGGGGGCGGGCTGTAGTGCTGCAGAAGTGTGTGAGGACTTACGCTTGTAATGTAGGAGCCTTGGTAAGTGGAATAGGGTTTAGGGTTTAGGGTTTAGGGTTTAGGGTTTTGGGGTATATCATACTATAAGTTCAGTCAGGAGCCCCCGAAATAGTGTTGGCAATTCTTTAGGCCACTACATTAAACCCTAACATCATACTATAAGGTAGTTATTTAGGCCCCTGTAGTATGGGGCGTTTGGCTGTTTGGGTGCCTTCTGGGTTTTGAGGGGAAGGATGTAGCCTGACTTAAACCCTAATCCCTAAACCCCTAAACCCCTTAACCCCTAAACCCCTAAACCCCTAAACCCCTAAACCCCTAAACCCCTAACTGAAGCTCTCCAGAACCCTAAAGCCCCCCAAAGGAGCCCTTGACGGAGCCGCCCCTGCCCCCCCCCGGTACAGGATCCCTTAAGGGCTCCTTTAAGGGCTCCTTTAAGGGCTCCTCTAAGTCCTTTTTAAGGGATCCTTTAACGGAGCAACCCTTGAAGGACCAGGCTGGAGCTGAAGGGTTCATAGGGTTTCGGGTTCTTAGGGTTCTTAGGGTTTAGGGTTTAGGGTTTAGGGCTCTTAGCGTTTAGGGTTTAGGGCTCTTAGGGTTTAGGGCTCTTAGGGTTTAGGGTTTAGGGTTTAGGGTTTAGGGCTCTTAGGGTTTAGGGTTTAGGGTTTAGGGTTTAGCAGGAGTTCACGGGCGAAAGCTGCAGGATCGGCGGGCTCGACTCCGGGGCCTTCATAACTAGGACAGGGGCTTAGGGTTTTAGGGTTTCAGGGTTTTTTTTGGGGGGTTTAGGGTTTAGGGTTTAGGGTTTAGGGTTTCAGGGTTTAGGGTTTGGGGTTTAGGGTCATAGGGACCTTCATGATTAGAACTGGGGCTTGCGGCTTAAGGTTTAGGGTTTGGGGTTTAGGGTCCTAGGGGCCGTCATAATTAGAACAGGGGTTTAAGGCAAATCACAGCATATCTTTTGCATCAAACCCCCCCAAGGAATAGCCTTGCGAGCTGTCTCTGGCCTGTGTGAAAGCCGGGTGCCAAGCCATGGAGCGCTAGTTGTGTCTTTGAGCTCCAACCCGCTAAACTACCTCTAAACTGTCGGTTTAGGGTTTACGGATCAGGGTTAAGGGTTGTGGGGCTTAGAGTGTAACACCCCAAAATAAACAAACCCTAAACATCGAACACTGAATCTGAAGCCAAAACCTTTTCCAAGCCCACGAGTCTTTCGGTGCAACCCCTCAAACCCTGAACTTGAGCTGGCCCTGAACATTAAACACTGAACCCTCAAACTGAAGCCAAACCTTCAAGCAGTCAAGCGTTAATCCTAGAAGGCAATCTAAAAACCCCGAAACCCTTGTTTGACCGCACTAAATCCTGCTAACACCCTTCAAACCCTACCCAAAAACCTTACTAACCCCAATGCCCAACAACTCCCTTATAGAATCACTGCAGCGCCAATTCCGGAACCGAGCCTGCGTATCCTCGATCTCTAGCTGCAAGATATCTGCCTCCTCAGCACCTGCCGGGCTCTCGAGTCGGATGCTCTTTTTTGGGGCCCTTGTTCCCGATGTGTAGGGTAGTAGTAGTAGTAGTAGTAGTAGTAGTAGTAGTAGTACTTGCACTTGCACACGCAGCGA